CCCTAAACCCCTAAACCCCTATATTGGGCTCTCATGAAGTTTGTTGCATACCCGCCTCGGAGCTCAGCCCTGAAGCCGGCAAAGCGTTGGCCAGGGGCGAGGCTACAGATTGGACCTCCAGTGGGTTTGGGGCTCAGGGTTTAGGGTTTAGGGTGTAGGGTTCAGGGTTTAGGGTTTAGGACCTAGGGAGGATATTTAGGGTATTTAGGATTTAGGGTTTAGGGTTTCAGACTGATTGGTTCCCCAACCACCCGCCCTTTAATATGCCCTGCCCTGAGTTCCGCCCTAGGTCCTGGGTAAGTTTATTTCAAGGATAGTTAAGGCTCATTGGGTGGAACCTGGGTGATTATAGCCTTCAACTCGCAGGAGGCTTTGGTCGGGTATGAAAGGAATCGATGGCAAAGAACATGGAAAGTGCGAGGCATAGGGTTGACACCTAAAAATAGAATAGAAACAGATATATGGTTGGCGATCGTGGAGGTGCTGCTCTAGTCTAGGGATCCACTCCTGCATTTCCGGATTACAAAAAGCAAGCATAGGATTGCTCAGAGGCTTTTTGTTGCTTCGCGCGTTGGTGGTACATCATAGCTACTCCCGGTAGCTAGGCAAACCCTAAACCTTAAATCCTAATTTTTAGGCCGCTCTGAGGTCTACCACGTCATAATTCTCGTTTAGGTTCGAACAATCACTGTTGAAACTATGGAGTGCCAGAGCCCCCCCATGCAGAGTGCGTAAGTCATGTGGGAACTCAAGTCCCCCTTCTATACCCCCAGTATACTATACATTCCAACTTTTTTGGAACCCCCCATCTAGCTCAAGGAGAGGGGGGGGGAAGAGGGAACACACACACAAATTTAAAGGGGAAAGGGGGAGGCAGGCGTCAATGAACCTTGAGGCCCTGGCATTCCAAGGCGGCGAGGGAGGAGCTGGTGTCAACAGCGACGCAGCGGGAGCCTCGTGGGCTACATAATAACGGAAAATGAACACTTCCAAAGTCTAACTTCACCTTCCCCCAAACTAACATGGCATGCCAAAAAGAACCATGTAAGTGTAAAGACTATTGCCCACTTACATGGGGTTGCGTGAATTTGAGAGTCGGGTAGCTTCTCTACAGGGGGTCAAGCCGCCTGCGTCGGTCAAAGCTACAAGCAACGCCTGAACCCGATTTGACGTCCAGAGTTCATGATTCATGGGCTCGATCGTGGAATTCGACTGGCGTTAAAGTTAAAGGCATGGGGAAATAATTTCTTAGAGGAGAGAAGAGTTTGCACGAGGGCGGCCCCAGTCTAGGCGTCCGAGCTTCAGCAAGAGATTGGTAATGTTGGACTTTTAGCGCGCTCTATTCAAAATATCTCACGTCAAATCTGTGACGGGTCAAACGAAGCACTTCAAGGTCTAAACCGCTTTCGTCCGTACATGGCCAATGCATTGGTAACTAAGCCCTGCCTGGTAGGCTTGGCAAGCCCACCCCGCAAGACTGGGAACCAGGTATAGTCATGTGGCAGCTGCACGGCCCTAGTTTGGGGGGTGGGGTTACCACAGTCCCCTGATTACCTTCATACAAGCCTATATAAACACAGCTGCCATTGCATGTTAAGTGTTGCCATTTGGTTCTCTACCATACTGAACTCTTGAGCCGTCTGCTAACACCCCTAACCCCCAATAGTATAATAGCTTCCATTCTCTTGTCCATTCTCTACATCCCTAACTAGTCCCTTTGATTCTCCATTTCTCCATTAGTCCCGAAAATTATCAAAAATAAGCCAACCAGGCTTTTGTTCTATATTCTGAATCCCTATAGGAGTCCCTTACATCATCCTCTATATAACCCCCTGTAAGGAACTTAGACTTATGGCTCATATCAGCCCTAAACCATAAACCCTAAATACCCTAAATCCTAAACCCTGAATACCCCCAGGTCTTAAACCCTAAACACCAAACTCCCTAAATCTTAAACCCCTAAACCCTAAATACCCTAAATCCTACGCCCTGAACCTTACAGAAGGTGGGAAACACCATGGGAAGCCTCGGCTTTAGTCCAGTGCGTCTCGCTTGGTGCCTGGTGCAGGGGCGGAGTCTGCCAGAAATACAGAAAAACTACTACTACTACTACTACTACTACGACGACGACGACGACGACGACTACGACTACTACTACTACTACTACTACTACTAAAACAGAAAATGGTAGAATTAGAGCTACTAACGGTAATTACTAGGACTGCTGATATTACTGGGCATACAAATAATTGTAGCCATTCTCATGATAATAATAGGAACAGACACAAACTATCTCTTGGAGGTTGATGTCTGTAAAGGGCTTATCGGCTGAACCATCTGTAGGTATGTTCTTATACATGTGCAAGTACTTCTTTGCAGGTTATGGCGCTTATGGCACCTGGAGCTTCCTTGCAAGACTGAGTTTAACTGCCCGCCGACAAAACTTATAGTCCCTATGTATCCCATTATAATAGTTTCCATTTCCTTTTCCATTCCTTCTCAACCCTAAACCCTAAATCCTTTAGTAGATCAGGACTCCGTGCTTCTCAGGTTGGGTTAAGAGAGCTGTGGCTGCCACCTCACATACTCGACTGGAGAAAGCAGTTAGAAATAGCACGAAGGACCAAAACGAAATCGAGATCTGAACTCTAGATCGTCCGAAAATCAATCATAACCATGCGGCCCTACAGCCTTATACCATGAACCCGATACACTTCATCCTGAAACAGCCCGTATCCTGCATGAGATGCTACACCTTACATCCCAGGAAACAACCTTCGGAGGTACATCTAGGAGACTTGAAGCCGAGCTGTAGGAACAGGAGCCGAGCAGGTCATGATTGCTGACCCCCATATAGCAACCATTTGTTAGTATGCCCTAAATTCTAAACCCCAAGCCCT